CGTCCATGGAGGTGGTCTCTTCGGTGGCGGTTTTAATGGTGGCGGAATCCATGGTGGAACTCATGCTGGTAGTGGTATCATCGGCAGTGGAATCTCCAATGGCCCAAGCCAGTGCAGATATTGGTGCAAGACTCCGGAGGGTCAGGCCTACTGCTGCGAGACGGTGCATGAACCAGAGACACCTGTTGGTACCAAGCCACTCACTTGCCCTCAAGTCCGTCCAACATGCCCACGTTTCCATGGGCCCCCCACTACCTGTTCCAACGACTACAAGTGTGCTGGCCTCGATAAGTGTTGCTTCGACAGGTGTTTGGGAGAACACGTATGCAAACCACCTTCATTTTTCAACAATCACCTCCCCTTTTAAAGGTGGTTATCGCTAGTAAGGACTCCGGTTTTCCGGTTGATAACGGAAGATAGAAAATCTGTGATTTGTAGATATTTATTCTTTGATAATAAATCTTTATATATTGATATATCCTTGCATTTCTTTAATTCCTGCGTCTAGATTATAATCAAATTGAATGTGGAAGTACACTGATCTCAACCAGCCATAAACGCCTGCTTTTTCCTATTGTAAATGGCGTAAAATACATAATATTAAAGAAACTTACTTCAATGCAGATTCCTTTGGTTAAGACTTTCCCACTTCTAGTTATTAGTCTTCAAAATTATTAATGATTTTGTGAAAACACATGTTTACATATTCGTATAAACATGCGCTCACTTCTTCCCTGCCTGCCTTCATCCATCCATCCTACCTGTAACCTGCCCCTTCTTTCATTTCCTCCTTTCTTCCCTCTGTCCCTTTCCCCACTTTACCTCCCTTCCTCTTTCCGTTCTGCTTCCATCCCCTTCCCTTCCTTCCGTCATAATATATTATTTACTGATTAATTAATTATTAGCTAATTGTCTATAAAAAAACGTGAGAAAGCAGCAGAGAAGGAAGGGGGGGGGGGGAGAGGGGACATAAACAGGGTTCTGGAATGCAACGTCACTAAGCACATGGCTGATGACGTCACAGAGGAAAATACAAGTCTAGTAGCCACCACATGGAGTGTTGCCAAGGTCAAGAACTGTGCTTCCTTTTTTCTTCTGCTGCCATGTATTATTTTCATTCTCTGTACAGAATTAAGACCGAACTGAATCTATACGTATAGAATAAACTAATTGATAATTAAGATTGTTTGGGAGTTCTTCCTCATGACTGAGGGAGGCGACTATTTAGATAGCGATTTTAGTAGAAATACAGGTAAATACTGACAATCAGCCTTTCTGTTTCAAATGCCAGTTTTGTATAGCTGACCATCAAAGCTTAATTTTAATGGTAAGAAATTCTGCAGACTTGCATCATCTAATGAAAAGCAGAATCTTCTGTTAGCTGACTTTTTTGCTTTCCATCTTTGCATTTTATCACTGTCATTTTCATCTTTGTCATCAATGAAAAAAAAAAAAAAAACAATGGAATCAAAGTATTTCGCAAAAAGCGAAATGGAAAACTGTACGCGATACCAGGAATTGCCGCTGGCTTCGGTGACTGCTGAGGCGGAGAGGTGAGAGAGGCAGCTACTATATACAAGCGACGTGTATATATACTGTATATAGGCATATATACTATATATACTGTATATATATACTGTATATATACACTGTATATATATATTGTATATATACTGTATATATATACTGTATATATACTGTATATATATGCTGTATATAGGCAGTTCCTATATATAAGCGACGTTGTACTCTTCCTATTACACAGTTAGCTTCTAACCAACAATGAATGTGAGAGCTATTTGCAAGATGCGTTACAATATTTAGTTCGACAATTTATAGAGGCTTTTAGATGCCCATATCCAGTTGTGAACTTGGTTGATTATAAACAAGATTTTACTTTAGCAACTATTAGTTATGATGGATAATCCCCTCATCTTTTCTTGCAGGGCATCAAAGCCATGATTGTGCGTTGCCTCCTGGTGGCCGTCTCAGCCGGCGTAAACCGAAGAAGTGGACAAGGATCCAATAGATTCCTTCCTGGAAGTTTCGGTGGCATCCATGGAGGCGGTCTCTTCGGTGGTGGCGTTATCCATGGTGGTGGAATCCATGGCGGTATCCATAGTAGAATCCACGGCGGTAGTGCCATTATTTTTGAATAATAAATTCTTAAAAGTTTATATTTCAGTGCACTTCCTTTTCCCCTTACTTTAAATTATAATAGTGAAATTGAACGCGAAAAAAATGTAAACTGAATGTATGCTGATCTATCTTTTTATTTTATTTTATTAGGTAAGAAATCTATGATTTGATAATACTATTTTATGTTCAAACTACGAATACTTAATGAATACTCAGCTTTCTGCAGTTTGTTTGTTCCCACGACTCATTCTTTAACAACAGATCTCGGAGTATTTTATGGAGTAACCTGACTAAAAAGAAAAAATCACCCATTTATCCTTTTGGATAATGATCTCTTCTTTTAAAGATGGTTATTGTTGATAAGAGGTCGTCCGTTGAATTTAGGAAAGCTATGATTTGTAGATACTTATTGTTAATAAAAAATCGGTGTATATGTATCCTCTTGCATTTGTGCGACTCTGCATTTGATGGTAATCAAATTGAACATAAGAAGTACACTGATCTCACCCAACCATAAAGGTCTACTTTACCGCATTGTGAATGGCGTAAAACAAATAATGTTACAGGCATTGGTTTCGATGGAGAGTTCTTTGACCGAGACGTTCAACCTTTTAGTTATCACTATCCTGAAAACGATGAAAGGGCTTGTGAATATAAAAATGTTTCCATATGTCAACACGCGCGCGCAAACATATATACATACATGGTCATAAAAAAATATATATGCGTATGCCAGACCGCCAACTCATACATACACACACAAATGCACATTTTCTCGTGATCACACATTCATATATATATATATATATATATATATATATATATATATAGACATATATATAATATATATGCGTTTGTGTGTTGGATAGACAATTATACATACATATGAATTTGTATGTTTATATATATATATATATATATATATACATATATATACATATATATATATATATATTCGTGTGTGCTTATGTATGTATATATATATGAATATATGTTAATGCGAAGCTACAACCGAAAGGTAACTGAACTGGAGAAAAAACGGTGACGTCATCAGGTGGGTGGCCAATAACGTCACAGAATGAAGGACAGGTCTTAAAGCCAGCGGGCAAAGTGTTGCCATCTCTAGGAATCTCTTTTTCTAATTAATTCACTGCAGTTGACACGTAGTGTTCGATTACATTTATTTCAAATGTATGACTATTGCACCACTGTGCATATGAATTCAATTCACTTTTAACTCATTCTGAAATGTTTTATCATAATACTATATTCATATCTTACCTCGGAAAGTACGTGCGTAGAATCCTGAATATGTTTCTGATGAAATACTGTAGAATGTGAATCTGCGTAACCAAATATAGAGCTTCATAGTTACATAGAAACTATTTAGTCTGACGTCATCGAGTCTGGAAAATACCTAGCAACCTTTATTTGCACCCTTACCCCTCCCTTCCCCCCCCCCCACCTGTCTGTTATCTGCCCCTTCCCTCATTCCCTCCCTCTATCGCTGACATTTTCTATTCTGTTTGTGCACTCTTCCCTCATTCAATCCCTCCCAACCTCCTATCCTTATATTTTCCCCCTCCTTCCATCTTGTTTACACCTTCCCTTCTTTCCATCCGTCCTTCCGTATTCCTTCTACCCTGCTGGCACTCTCCCCGTTCTTCCGTCCTTCCGCCTTATACCCACCCCCTCCCTTCCTATCCTTCCCTCCTTCTCCGTCATTGGTAGGACGGAATATAACGATTTAGGCAGTGTCTTTCTTTATGATTTTTTTTCCTCTCTTTCCGTCTATACAATTTATCAATGTCAAGTTAACATTCATCAATGTAATAAGGAAAGACGAGCTGAAGTATTTCGCAAAAAGTAAACCGGAAAACCAAACACGTTACCTGGAAATTTATGTCGCTAGTTTGGGATATCCCGACTGGCGAGGCGAAGGGATTGGGGAGGGGGGAGGGGAGTCGGCCTCCAGTTCCTGTATATTAGCGACGTTGCATCTTCCACTCTCCACACTGCACAGCTATCCTCTAACCAACAATGAATGTGAGTTCTTGTTGCAAGATGCATTATATTATTTAGGTTCGACCGTTTTCAGGGTCATTTTGATGTTCATATTTTGTGGAGTTGATTGAATATAAATTAGATATCATATTATTTTCATAATAATAAATCCATACATATAATGATGAATAATTTCGTTATCTCCCTTTGCAGAGCATCAAATCAGTGATTTTCTGTTGCCTTCTGGTGGCCGTCTCGGCCGGTGTAGACCGAAGAAGAGGTGGACAAGGATCCAACAGATTCCTTTCTGGAGGCTTCGGTGGCGTCCACGGAGGCGGTCTCTTCGGTGGCGGTTTTAATGGTGGCGGAATCCATGGTGGTGGAATTCATGGTGGCGGTATCCATGGTGGAATACACGGTGGTAGTGGTATCATCGGCGGTGGAATCTCCAATGGCCCAAGTGAATGCAGATATTGGTGCAAGACTCCAGAGGGTCAAGCCTACTGCTGCGAGACGGTGCATGAACCAGAGACACCTGTTGGTACCAAGCCACTCACTTGCCCTCAAGTCCGTCCAACATGCCCACGTTTCCATGGGCCACCCACTACCTGTTCCAACGACTACAAGTGTGCTGGCCTCGATAAGTGTTGCTTCGACAGGTGTTTGGGAGAACACGTGTGCAAACCTCCCTCATTTTTCAATAATGCTCTGCCCTTTTAAGGGTGGTTATTGCTAATAGTCATCGGTTTTCCGGTTGATAACGGAAGATAGAAAATCTGTGATTTATAGATATTTATTTTTGAATAATAAACCCATACATGTTTATATTTGCATTTCTTAGTTCCCTGCGTCTAGATTGTAATCAAAGAGAATACTGGAAAAAAAAAAGTAATCGGAATATATATAGATCTATCACTTTTTTCTTCTTTTTTTTACACCAGAAAGGGTAGTAAATACATAAAGAAACCAAAGAAGCCTAGTTTTCATTGAACCGAGTTCGTTATGATGAATGTAGGTGTGAATAAGAATTGATATCTTTACGGCCTATAGGTCTGGATTTTATCTTTATCCGAAATACATATAATTTCTGGCGAATATAAAGTCGAAATGCATCAAGTGCATCTCATGAGCCATGAAAATGTGTAAGCCTTTTTCTAATTTATCATATAAATGTTGCATAAAACACTTGATTTTATAGGCAATCCATACATTGGATTAGGAATACATGGAGATTTGCATATGCGCATCCAAGTATACATACGTTCAAGACGCGCAAAAGCGTTTTTCAGCAACCACTTTCCGTAGCAGAGCTGGTTATCTCGAGTACAGAGTGAATGGGCTTTCCTGATTATTGACAGAGGATGTGATTTGACAGTACTATTTTCTTATATATATAATACTTAATGAATACTCAGCTTTGTGATGCTTATTTATCCCTTTGATCTCCATTTTAACAATATATCTCGGAGGTTTGTATAGAGTATCTTGGATGATAAATTTTCATCTATTTCACCTTTATAGCCTTGTTTCAAGCAACAAAGGAAAACACACTGTTATTAATATGCGTTATGGAAAAGTAAAGAACTTTTTCGGATGATTCATCTAACACTTTGATTAATTACACCTCATTGATATTTTTTTCACTGATTATTCGTTCTTTTTTATGTATTCATATGATTCACATGTAAATGTGACTAAATATGGTGATTCCTGTTTATCAAAACAGTTTTGCAATGCTCTAGCTAATCAGCTCCTTACTGAACAAAACAGTGACTTTGTAGCTCAAAAAAAGAGCCAATTCTAATCCACTCAGTGCCTCTTTTTCAGGGGTAGTTTAACGGTAAACGAATTTCTTTGGTCGCTGCCCTCTCCTTTAATCTTCTGAATTACTGTAACACACATAGTGTGACGTTATCGAGCCCGAAGTTTCTCACGTGCAAAAAAAAGTAACCTGTATGACCTGCCATCATTCATTGTCGCTTTAATCTGCCATGAAATTATTAAAGTAGAAGTAATGATGATAATGATATTCTTTGTATTTATCAGAATAATATTAAAGATGAAATATCACTGACATTGATAACATGTGTAACAATAATAATATTATTATTGTTACATTTGTAACAATAATAATAATGTTATTGATAATAATAAAAACAACGATGTTAGTAACATTCCGCTTTATAACAAAGAAAATCTTAAACGATTACAATAAAAGGAAATACCTATACAAAAAATAATAGTAGTACTATCACTAGCGATAATCATGCAACGATTATAGTGCCAGTAACTAATAAAATTAAATAGTGGAAATATTATCGACACGAGTAGTAAAATGATTACAATACTAATAAAAAATCTAAGCATTTGTTTTTAAAACCTTTTACTGTTCTATTTATTTTCAGCGCCATTTTTAACTCTGCCATCAATGTAAACAGGGAGAGTAACCGATGTACCCCATTAAATTCCCCAGGGAATTTAATTTGGCAGGAAATGTCATAGTTACGTCACGGGATATCCCGACTGGCGAGACATGGGTGGGTGGGGCGGAGGGGGGTTACCAGTTCCTGTATATAAGCGCGGTTGCAACTCGTACTCGCCACATTAATCAGACACCTCTGGTCAGCAATGAATGTGAGTGCATCTTTCGAAATACGATGATAACTATATTTCACTCTATTTCTTATATATATTTAAATTATGTTGTCTTAAATTCTGGATGTCATAATGGTTTGATAAGCACATTTAATTTTTTATAGATCAGAGTCAATGGTTTTGTTATCTCTTGCAGAGCATCAAAGCCGTGATTGTGTGTTGCCTTCTGGTGGCCGTCTCGGCCGGTGTAGACCGAAGGAGAGGTGGACGAGGATCCAACAGATTCCTTTCTGGAGGCTTCGGTGGCGTTCACGGAGGCGGTCTCTTCGGTGGCGGTTTTAATGGTGGCGGAATCCATGGTGGCGGAATCCATGGTGGAATACACGGCGGTAGTGGTATCATCGGCAGTGGAATCTCCAATGGCCCAAGCCAGTGTAGATATTGGTGCAAGACTCCGGAGGGTCAGGCCTACTGCTGCGAGACGGCACATGAACCAGAGACACCTGTTGGTACCAAGCCACTCACTTGCCCTCAAGTCCGTCCAACATGCCCACGATTCCATGGTCCTCCCACTACCTGTTCCAACGACTACAAGTGTGCTGGCCTCGATAAGTGTTGCTTTGACAGGTGTTTGGGAGAACACGTATGCAAACCTCCCTCCTTTTTCAATAACCATCTCCCCTTTTAAAAGTGGTTATTGCTAATAGAACCTTCGGTTGTCCGGAATATAGGGAATCTGTGATTTATAAATATTTATTTTTCAATAATAAACTTTGTATGTTTATATATTCTTGTATTTCCTTTTTCCTCTCGTCTACATTATAATAATCAAACAAAACACTGGAATAAGATTAATCCGAATTTATATTGATAGAGTTAATTTTGACAAATATAAGTGTAATAAGAATTAATATATTTACGGCACATATGTATCTGAAGTATATGAATTTGATATTCATCTGAAATACATATAATTTCTGGTGAATTTCATGAGCAGTAGAAAATTTCTAACATTTTACTATATATGAGCGAGTCCGTGGCGCCGAGAGTCGTGGCACGAAGATTGTATCTGTCCAGGTGCTGGGATCTGTGGAGCTTCAGCTTGAAAATGGAACTCCTATCGTTCATGGCTTATAGAAAGAGGTTGAAACACATTTCATTACTATGAGTACAAGGATCTTTGTAAATTCCACAGATGTAAAAATATGATAAACATGTAGTTTTTAATACAAGTCAGCCGAAAAGATCGGAACGAAGTGACCTTCCATCTTGAGGGGTTACTAAACTTACACATGCACAACAAATCAAACATACCAAAAATCAGACGGCGGCTGAAAGCATCGATTGATGTGAAACCATCAAATGAAAAATCCTTTACAATATATATATTTATACATATATGATTGCATATATCCCTTGCATTTATTTAATCCCTCCTTATAGATTATAATCAATTGAACATTGATATGAAGTACATTGATCTTAACCAACCATAAGACTAATTTACTGCACTGTGAATGAAGTAAAATACGTGATATAGACAATGGTTTCGATGGTTAATCCTCTGATTGAGATTTTTCCCACTTCTGCTTATAACTATCCTGAAAACAATGAAATGACTAGTGAATACGCAAATGTTTACATATGCCTATATAATATCGTCCTTGAAAACGTCCACGAGGAGAGAAGTTACAAAACGACAACAACAGGGGAAGGGAGAATAGCAGGCGAAAAAACATAATTGGGATTTAGAAGGCATCGGCACAGTGACGTCATCAAGTTTGTGGCTCATGGCGTCACAGAATATAGAACAGGTCTTCGCGTAAAATGTTGCCATCTTCAATATCTCTCTTCTCTTTTTTTCTAATTCATTCACTTGAGTTGGTAAGTAATGCTCGATTAGATTTATTTTAATATATGGCTATCACACCACTCTAAGAATGCGAATTCACTTGTCTCCCTTCATCCATTCTGCCTTTAACCTGCTCCTTCCATCATTCCCTTCATCCATCCCTTACACCTCTGATCCAACGTCCACCTTTCTCCCTTTCCCTCTCACTATTTCCTTTCAATGTCTTTGTACATTTTTCCCTCCTTCCCTTCCCCCTTATTCACTGCCTCCTTCAATTCTGTTTTTGTTCTCTTTTCTCCCTCAATCCATCCTTGCCTGCTATATTGCTTGTACCCTTCCCCTCCTTTCTACCTCCTTCCATTCTGCTTGCGTCCTCCTTCCCTCCCTTTCTTCCTTCTTCTATCATGCCTACACCCAGCCCCCGCTTTATCCTCCTTCCTTCTTCCATCATGTTTGCACTCTCCCACTTCCTCCCGTCCTTCCTTGCTGCTTACACCTCGTCCTCCCTTCCTCTCTTCTTTGATCTTCATCAGTGAAAAAAAGGAAAAAACATCCAAAAGTATTTCGCAAGAAGTGAACTGGAAAACCTGACGCGATACATGGAAAATTACGCCGCTGGCTTGGGATACACCGACTGGCGTGGCGGAGAGGTTAGCTAGGGGGGAGGGGTCGGCCACCAGTTCCTGTATATAAGCGACGTTGCAACTTCCACTCTCCACATCCCACAGCTAACCTTTAACCAGCAATGACTGTGAGTATTTGTTGCAAGATGCACTTTAGTATGTTATAGTATATGTATTTGGCCGTTTTAAGAGACATTTTGTTCATATTCTATTGTGAACTAGACAACAAATTATGTATTTTCAAATTGTACAACAGTTAACTAATATTATCATGATGTATAATTTCCGTGTCCTCTCTTGCAGAGCATCAAAGCCGTGATTGTGTGTTGCCTCCTGGTGGCCGTCTCGGCCGGTGTAGACCGAAGGAGAGGTGGACAAGGATCCAACAGATTCCTTCCTGGAGGCTTCGGTGGCGTCCATGGAGGTGGTCTCTTCGGCGGCGGTTTTAATGGTGGTGGAATCCATGGTGGTGGTAGTGGTATCATCGGCAGTGGAATCTCCAATGGCCCAAGCCAGTGTAGATATTGGTGCAAGACTCCGGAGGGTCAGGCCTACTGCTGCGAGACGGCACATGAACCAGAGACACCTGTTGGTACCAAGCCACTCACTTGCCCTCAAGTCCGTCCAACATGCCCACGTTTCCATGGTCCTCCCACTACCTGTTCCAACGACTACAAGTGTGCCGGCCTCGATAAGTGTTGCTTCGACAGGTGTTTGGGAGAACACGTATGCAAACCACCTTCATTTTTTAACAATCACCTCCCCTTTTAAAGGTAGTTATCGCTAGTAAGGACTCCGGTTTTCCGGTTGATAACAGAAGATAGAAAATCTGTGATTTCTAGATATTTATTCTTTGATAATAAATCTTTATATACTGATATGTCCTTGTATTTGTTTAATTCCTGCGTCTAGATTATAATCAAATTGAATGTAGAAGTACATTGATCTCAACCAGCCATAAACGCCTGCTTTTTCCTATTGTAAATGGGGTAAAATACATCATATTAAAGAAACTTATTTCAATGCAGATTCCTTTGGTTAAGACTTTCCCACTTCTAGTTATTAGTCTTCAAAATTATTAATGATTTTGTGAAAACACACGTCTACATATTCGTATAAACATGCGCTCACTTCTTCCCTGCCTGCCTTCATCCATCCATCCTGCCTGTAACTTGCCCCTTCTTTCATTTCCTCCTTTCTTCCCTCTGTCCCTTTCCCCACTTTACCTCCCTTCCTCTCTCCGTTCTGCTTCCATCCCCTTCCCTTCCTTCCGTTATAATATATTATTTACTAATTAATTATTAGCTAATTATCTATATAAAAAAAAAAAACGTGAGAAAGCAGCAGAGAAAGAAGGGGGGGGGGGGAGAGGGGACATAAACAGGGTTCTGGAATGTAACGTCACTGAGCACATGGCTGATGACGTCACAGAGGAAAATACATGTCAGATAGCCACCGCATGGAGTGTTGCCAGTGTCAAGAACTGCGCTTCCGTTTTTCTTCCGCTGGCATGTATTATTTTAATTCTCTGTACAGAATTAAGACCGAACTGAATCTATACGTATAGAATAAACTAAGTGATAATTGAGATTGTTTGGGAGTTCTTTCTCATGACTGAGGGAGGCGACTATTTAGATAGCGATTTTAGTTAGTAGAAATACAGGTAAATACTGACAATCAGCCTTTCTGTTTCAAATGCCAGTTTTGTATAGCTGACCATCAAAGCTTAATTCTAATGGTAAGAAATTCTGCAGACTCGCATCATCTAATGAAAAGCAGAATATTCTGTTAGCTGACTTTTTTGCTTTCCATCTTTGCATTTTATCACTGTCATTTTCATCTTTGTCATCAATGAAAATAAAAAAAAGTGGAATCAAAGTATTTCGCAAAAAGCGAAATGGAAAACCGTACGCGATACCAGGAAGTGCCGCTGGCTTGGGTGACTGCTGAGGCGGAGAGGTTGGAGAGGCAGCTACCACATATAAGCGACGTGTGTATATACTGTATATAGGCATATATACTGTATATATACTGTATATATATACTGCATATATACACTGTATATATACTGTATATATATATACTGTATATACACTGTATATATATGCTGTATATAAATACTGTATATAAGCGACGTTGTACTCTTCATATTACACAGTTAGCTTCTAACCAACAATGAATGTGAGTGCTATTTGCAAGATGCGTTACAATATTTAGTTCGACAATTTATAGAGGCATTTAGATGCCCATATCCAGTTGTGAACTTGGTTGATTATAAACAAGATTTTACTTTAGCAACTATTAGTCATGATGGAGAATCCCCTCATCTTTTCTTGCAGAGCATCAAAGCCATGATTGTGTGTTGCCTCCTGGTGGCCGTCTCAGCCGGCGTAAACCGAAGAAGTGGACAAGGATCCAATAGATTCCTTCCTGGAAGTTTCGGTGGCGTCCACGGAGGCGGTCTCTTCGGCGGTGGCGTTATCCATGGCGGTATCCATAGTAGAATCCACGGTGGTAGTGCCATTATTTTTGAATAATAAATTCTTAAAAGTTTATACTTCAGTGCACTTTCTTTTTCCCCTTCCTTTAAATTATAATAGTGAAATTGAACGCGAAAAAATGTAAACTGAATGTATGCTGATCTATCTTTTTATTTTATTTTATTAGGTAAGAAATCTATGATTTGATAATACTATTTCATGTTAAATCTACGAATACTTAATGAATAGTCAGCTTTCTTTAACAACAGATCTCGGAGTATTTTATCTAGTAACCTGACTAAAAAGAAAAAATCACCCATTTATCCTTTTGGATAATGATCTCCTCTTTTAAAGATGGTTATTGTTGATAAGAGGTCGTCGGTTGAATATAGGAAAGCTATGATTTGTAGATACTTATTGTTAATAATAAATCGGTGTATATGTATCCTCTTGCATTTGCGCGACCCTGCATTTGATGGTAATCAAATTGAACATGGATATGAAATATAAGATCTCACCCAACCATATAGGTCTACTTTACCGCATTGTGAATGGCGTAAAACAAATAATGTTGCAGGCATTGGTTTCGATGGAGAGTTCTTTGACCGAGACGTTCAACCTTCTGGTTATCACTATCCTGAAAACGATGAAAGGGCTAGTCAATATAAAAATGTTTACATATATCAACACGCGCGCGCAAAAATATATGTATACATGGACATAAATATATATATATATATGTGTGTATGCCAAACCGCCAACTCATACATACACGCACAAATGCACATTTTCTCGTGATCACACATTCATATATATATATATATATATATATATATATATATATAAGTATATATATACATATATATAATATATATGCGTGTGTGTGTTGGATAGACAATTATACATACATATGAATTTGTATGTTTATATACATATATATATATATATATATATATATTCATGTGTGCTTATGTATGTATATATATATGAATATATGTAAATATGAGATCACACATGCAGATATTTAGAAATCAATAAGATGCGAAGCTACAACCGAAAGGTAACTGAACTGGAGAAAAAACGGTGACGTCATAGGTTGGGTGGCCAATAACGTCACAGAATGAAGGAGAGATCTTAAAGCCAACGGGCAAAGTGTTGCCATCCCTAGGAATCTCTTTCTAATTCATTCACTTCAGTTGACACGTAGTGTTCGATTACATTTATTTCAAATGTATGACTATTACACCACTGTGCATGTGAATTCAATTCTCTTTTAACTTATTCTGAAATGTTTTTATCATAATACTATATTCATATCTTACCTCGGAAAGTACATGCGTAGAATCCTGAATATGTTTCTGATGAAATACTGTAGAATCTGCGTAATCAAATATAGAGCTTCATAGTTACATAGAAACTATTTAGTATGACGTCATCGAGTCTGGAAAATACCCTTTCTCTCCCCCCCCCCACCTTCCTCTATCTATCCAGTCTGTTATCTGCCCCTTCCCTCATTCCCTCCCTCTATCCCTGTTTTCGCACTCTTCCCTCATTCAATCCCTCCCAACCTCCTATCCTTATGCCTTTCCCCTCCTTCCATCTTGTTTACACCTTCCCTTCTTTCCTTCCGTCCTTCCGTATTCCTTCTACCCTGCTGGCACTCTCCCCGTTCTTTCGTCTTTCCTGCTTATACCCACCCCTCCTTCCTATCCTTCCCTCCTCCTCCGTCATTGGTAGGACGGAATATAACGATTTAGGCAGTGTCTTTCTTTATGATTTTTTTCCTCTCTTTCCGTCTATACAATTTATCAATGTCAAGTTAACATTCATCAATGTAATAAGGAAAGACGAGCTGAAATATTTCGCAGAAAGTGAACCGGAAAACCAAACACGTTACCTGGAAATTTATGTCGCTAGTTTGGGATATCCCGACTGGCGAGGCGGAGAGATTGGGGAGGGGGGAGGGGAGTCGGCCTCCAGTTCCTGTATATAAGCGACGTTGCATCTTCCACTCTCCACATTGCACAGCTATCCTCTAACCAACAATGAATGTGAGTTCTTGTTGCAAGATGCATTATATTATTTAGGTTCGACCGTTTTCAGGGTCATTTTGATGTTCATATTTTGTGGAGTTGATTGAATATAAATTAGATATCATATTATTTTCATAATAATAAATCCATACATATAATGATGAATAATTTCGTTATCTCCCTTTGCAGAGCATCAAATCAGTGATTTTCTGTTGCCTTCTGGTGGCCGTCTCGGCCGGTGTAGACCGAAGAAGAGGTGGACAAGGATCCAACAGATTCCTTTCTGGAGGCTTCGGTGGCGTCCACGGAGGCGGTCTCTTCGGTGGCGGTTTTAATGGTGGCGGAATCCATGGTGGTGGAATTCATGGTGGCGGTATCCATGGTGGAATACACGGTGGTAGTGGTATCATCGGCGGTGGAATCTCCAATGGCCCAAGTGAATGCAGATATTGGTGCAA